AAGAAGAGAAGGAACAAACAGGGGAAAAAGATGAGAGTGGAGAGACAGAGTGCTCGTTTTGAGGTGGAAATATGCCGTTTCCTGAGCACAGCGGGACTTCCCTAGCTCGTATTCAGAAGTCCTGTACTGCCCATGCCTGGTACAGAAGTATGTATAGAATTGTGGAGAAAGTGAACAATTTGGGATGATTTGGAAGCAAGTCATAGAACTACCAGTTTCACCAGTTTAAAAGTTTTGGGGAATGGCCATTTAGATATAGGTAGCTCAGTGCAGTCAGGTAGCAGTCAGGTACCCACAAATGGATTTTTTTTTTTTTTTGAGACGGAGTCTTGCTCTGTTGCCAGGCTGGAGTGTAGTGGCACAATCTCAGCTCACTGCAACTTCCATCTCCCGGGTTCAAGAGATTCCCCTGCCTCCAAAATGGAGTTTTGAAAAATTTTCACACCCCTCTTTGCTGGTACCTGCTCTACATCATGGTGTCGCCGTGACAAGGAACTTGTTCCGGATCTCTCTCGGGGCAGGCCGAGTGACTCACCTAAAGTCACACAGCTTCCACGGAACATTACTGGAAGCTCCGCGAGGGCCTTCTGCCCCTGAAACTTGCCCTATTTCCCTCAAGTCCTGCTTCTTTTTGTAGGTTTTATGACATTGGTTTCTGAAAACTCGACTAATCAGGAATGTTCTGGAAAGCTTAGTTTATGGAAGAAAAAGCCAGATTGTCAAAGCCATGTTCCAAGGCGTTCACAGTCCTGGCCTGGGGGAAGAATGATCTCCCAAAAGCTCAGGAAACGTGGTTGTCTGAAAGTCTCCAGACTGGCCTCTGGATGATGCTTGTGCAGGGTCAGGGTCTGCAGTGCCTTTAACTCTCTGGCACTGAAGCTAACGTGGAAGCTGGCTGTGATCGCACATTGGCCTAAAGCAACCAGCGTGACCTGCACTGTCTCTTGGGTTAATTGTTTGAGGGTAACCAGATGAGCAACCATAGGAGCTTTAACTGAGTCAGAACTCATTCCAGGAAAACCCTAACCCTGGGCATGAGGAAGATGGGACTAGTTAATGCAGTATTACTGCACAACCTTCTCCTCCCTCACTCAAGCAGATATAAGAGAAAAGAGGAAATAACGTTAGGACCGATGATCAAGGGAACTTCTCAGGGCTGGGGGGCGGAAAAGCAGCCCACCAGCGCTTGATGTGGTTGCCTGGATCACAAACGGGGTATGACCGGGGGAATTCTCTTCACCAGGGGGTGGAGGGGTGGGGAGACCCCTCTCTCTACCTCCGCTCTAGAGGTGACCTCTCACCCGCCTAATGGAAAAAATAAACTTATTTTATGACAATTTGCATTGAAAAGATGAAGGCAAATGAGCAAGCCTTGGAAGCTGATGTTTTCATGGGGTTCACTCGAGCATGCTGCCCCTCTGCCCCAGGCTGAGAGGTGAAAAGCCAAGATGGGTTGGATGGGTGGGAGCCTCCCCAGCCTGCCTGGGCCCCGGAGCCCAGCAGAGTCAATTTTCTAGCAGTGATTATGACCAGAGGAGGAGGCTGTGACCCAAGCCAGTTGGGAGACGGTGAGAAGGAACCCGTGTGTTCTCCTGGCAGCGGCAGCAGCAGCAGCAGGCTCAGCCGCCTGCACATTGCATGCTGTTCTGAGTGCCACACGGAGGTAGAGGGCTGCTCCCCGCAGGGTCCTGAGGACACAAGCCCTGCTCCACCTTGTCATCTGGTTCCACCTCCTTGGTCCTGGGGAATATTCTTTCTGTTTTCCATTTTCCATTTGGTTTGGGAAGGGGAGTTACTGTACTAGATAAATCAGAGCTACCAGGATTATTCAGCATCTGTCTTAAAAGGGGTGTGGCGTGGCTGCGTCTTAGCATGCTGGCTTGGAGGCAGCTGGGGCCATCAGACCACATGAGCTGGGCCTGTCCACTTTGGAAGAGGTGAGAAGGCTCCTTTGTGAGGGAGCCACAGAAGCCATGGAATGCGCAATAAGTACCAGAAGGCAGCTCAGAAACCTGGTTCAGTCCACTCCCCTATTAAGCTCAGCAGACAGGGCAGCCATCTGTGCTCAGTGAACTCCGCCCAGTGCGGTGCTGCAGGGCTGCCGGGAACCACATGTGGCCACCCCTGCTAGGACATGGGATGCCAGGCCCCAAAGACTATGATGTAAGGTGGGAGGCAGAAGTGTCCCAAGGTGCCCCTTGGCCTCCCTATCGTCCCTTTCCCAAGACCACAGAAGATGAGAAGTATGAACTAGGAATCTGAGGAAATAAAGACCAGGCCATTAGAAGGGGCCAGGATGGCTGAGCCCAGCACATGGTGGATTTGACCTCTAGCTTTTGCCCTTTGTTCACTGGTGTTCCCCCCAGGCCTCTGACCAGTTGCTGAGGGACTCTTGGTAGCGTTGGTAGTCTAGACAAACCCGGCATCTCCCCAAAAAGCTGATGTTGTCATCACTGATTAACCTGCAACATTAGGCTCTTTCCCTGAGAGTGCTTGTCACCTTGCAATCCCACCAACAGGACGTGAGGATTCCTTTGCTTTCAGGAAGATGTCAGAGGATGGTGCCTAGCTTAGAAAAGGAACATAGACCCAGCTCGTGCAGGGCTAACTCTGTGGGTGATATTATATTATGGGCTGCCTGAGTGTGGTAAACAGGAGTCTAGGTTTCAGAATCAGATGGGCCTAGATTGGAAACTTATCAGCAAATACTCAATGATGTGGATTCCATTCCCTTTGTGAACTTCAGTTTCCCTACCTGGAAAATAGAGGGATTGAACCAGCTGATCTTGGAGATCCATCTGAAAATGCCAAAGATTTAACATCCTTCAGGTGTGCCAAGGACCCAATCCTTTTAATCTTTTAATTATGAAATATTTGAACCACAAACAAAACTAGAGAGACAAATATGAGTCCTTCGGTACCCATTGCCACGTTTCAGCAATTATCAGCATCCACCACCACCCAGTCTTTATCACAGGCTCTTGTAGCACAGACTTAAGCATCTCACCAAAGAAGCCAGACTTACCCTCTGGGCTGGGCAGAGGCCTCTCAGCAGGCGCAGGGGTGGATTTCATGCTGTTTCCCATTTCTTTCTCTCTCCCTGGGGCTGTTGGAGATCCCCGGAGCCTATGGTATAAGACACACACGGAAAAAGTCAACCGTGCCCTGAGCCCTCCAAGTGGAGAATGACCCAGTTTAGAGAGCATCATGCATCATTTTTCTGGCAGCTTGCTTCTTGAAAGGCAGCTGTTTATATGTGAAGATGAGATTGGTGAAGATTGGTTACTTTTGCGCAGCTCAAGTTCTTTTATCAAGGGAATGACAGAAAAACCACAGAGAGGGAAGTTGCTAGCAAATGCTGTTGGTGGCAAAAGTTTCCATTCCTCTGCACCCTTGCTGGGGATGGTAAGCAGCCACGGCAGGGTGTGTGTGAAAAACTGAGCAGCATTTCAGGTGGCCCAGGAAGTATCTGCACTCAGGGGCCCTCACCATCAACTCTGCACCGGGGATTCAGAGCACAGGAGCTGTGCGGCTGTGCGGCCAAAGGCATGCGGAGAAGGTCTGCTCTGCTGCTGCCTTTCTCATCGGTTTGAGTTTGTCAGCATGCTTTAACAAAGGATGGAAAAGGACAACTTTATAACAATTCCGTATACTGGCCGCATGCTGCTGATACCCTCTCACATTTACTGTTAACTTTTGATCATTGTAAAGTCCTTGCACCACACTTAAGCCCATTCTGCAGTGAGGGAAACTGAGTCTCAGAGGGGGTAAGCGACTTGTGTGATGCCACATGGCAAGTAATTGTAGAGCTGAGATTTGAACCAGTGATGCTAAATCTCTGGGTTGATCCATAACAGTTTTCCAGGGTAACCATAGAGGCTTAAATTCTGGCTGTGTACTTACAGGATACATGACTTCGGGCAAGTCATTAACGTTTTTCTGTTTCTATTTTTTTGAGATACAGTCTCACTCTCGCCTAGGCTGGAGTGCAATGGTACAGTCTTAGCTCACTGCAACCTCTGCCTCCTGGGTTCAAGCGATTCCCCTGCCTCAGCCTCCCAAGTAGCTGGAATTACAGGCACACACTCTGCACCCAGCTAATTTTTGTATTTTTAGTAAAGAAGGGGTTTCACCATGTTGCCAGGCTGGCCTTGAACTCCTGACCTCAGGTAATCTATCTGCCTTGGCCTCCCAATGTGGTGGGATTACAGGCATGAGCCTCTGCACCCAGCCAAGTCATTAACCTTTTTCTGACTGCTTTGGGGGTCACTAATTGAACGGTGTTGGGTTATGGTTACAAAATCAACTGAGGTAAAGCATGGGAACCACTTTGAACATGTCCTGGCATAGAATACATGTTAGTTATTACTCTTTAGAGTTTGTTTACTGATTGTCTTTAATGATGTAAGTTCCAAGTCTGGACCTTCCTATGAATATTTTGGAAAGGGACATAGATAATCAGAGAATGGGGTCTTAGGAAAGCTGCATTCCCTCTGGATGGTGGCAGCACAGAGAGGAAGGCCACACAGACAGAGCTCTGCCTGCTTTGTGACGCCAAACAGAAGAGATGAAACAGGGTCCCCCCATCAGCCTCCAGCCCAAATGGAAACTTATCTCCCACCTACCTGTGTCTGTAGCTCAGGATCAAACCTTATGAAGGGCATGAAAGTCAGCCTGTCCAACTCCCACCCTGACCTTGAATTCTGTCTCCATGCCCTATGTGTACAGGTTCTAAAAGGAACTACACTCTCAGAGCAAGGCCCTCCCAGGTGGAGGGAGCTCTGCACTGCTCCCTAATTTGAGGGAAGGGGTGGTATGAGGTGAGACTCCTACTGTATTAAGAAACAAGGAACACCAAAATGAGTGTTGTTTAAAAGTCCATATATCTCAGACATTTACATGAACAGCTTGGCACTTACTGCTCAGGCTAATGCCTAGGAATAGTCTCAAGACAATGAAAAGGCTTGCAAAAGCTATAAACTCATAGTGCACCATGGAAGGGTTAGAATGGGCAGCATATTTAAAGTGAAGTGCAACTCCCATCCTTTTTAGATCCTGCTCATCTTTGTGACTGGAAGAGGATGCTCTTGCAAATTTGAGGTTCGGGCCCTGCTTTCTCCATGCTTGCCTCTACCCTCTTGACAAACTAGAAAAATACCACCCCCCCCCCCCACAAAATCCCAGGACCTCTGACTCTGGTGGGAAACTTCCAGCAGCTGGGCTGGTTCTAATGGCAACACCCTGAGTCCAGGAGGGCAAGGATACGTTGGCCTTTTCTCCATCCCTGAACCTGGCGAAGGTACCCAAGAAATGTGCTCCCCCAAAGTGCTTACAGAAACACAACAGGTGATGTCACTGCAACCCACATTCCCTGCAGTTCAGCAGATACTTCCTGGGCATCTATGTGGTGCTGGGCCCTGGGCAGTGCCTTGAGGAAGGCAGAATTCCACCCACGTAGTGGGAATGTGCTGCCTCCAAGGCCCCGGGTCAGGCAAGAGGGAAGAGGCACACCAGGCAGCCTCCCTGGCCCTGAGGAGCTGGCAGCCACATGGGCTGTTCCACACAGGCCTCAGGAAGCATACGTGATATGCACAGGCTGTCCTGCACAGGCCTCGGGAACCACACATGTGACACACATAGGCTGTCCAGCACAGACCTCAGGAAGCATGCATATGACATGCACAGGCTGTTCCACATAGACCTCAGGAAGCACACATGTGACACGCACAGGGTGTCCCACACAGGCCTCAGGAACCACATATACGACACACACATGCTGTCCTACACAGACCTTGAGAAGCATGCATGTGACACGCACAGGCTGTCCCGTACAGGCCTCGGGAAGCACATGTGTGACACGCACAGGCTGTCCCACACATGCCTGCCTCTGTCCTGCTCCTCAGGCTTCCTGAAACCCGCCAGCTGCCTTGGTTCCTCAGCCTCCCTGTCTTAGCATCACCAAGGCCTCTGGGCTTCTGGGGAAAGTTTTCAACATGCAGAACTAACTGAAACCACGTGTGTGATGGCCTCACCCATTTGCCACCATCTCCTGTGTCCCCAGACACAGCAAACTGTCTCAGCAATGCCTTTCTGTCCTTTCAGCCCAGCACTTGGCATCGAGTGTCTTTCAACACTTAGTGATGGTCCCCAGAACCCCAATTCTGTGGCTCCCCCCTCCAGATGTCAGTGTGCCCCCAGCCCTGCCAGCCTTCCCTCCCCTCCATCCTCTCCTCTGAGCTGCTTCTAAGCAGCAGGCTCCCACCACAGTGTCTGATCTTTATGTCACAACCATTCCAGAAAAACAGTCAGAACAAGACTTTGCTATCCATCAAAGAGAATTCCAACATCCTCTCTCTTCCCAAAAGCTCTATCATTCTTCTCAAGCATTTGCATGCTGATTTGGAGGGATTCCTGGAATCCACTACAGAAAAAAATAAAAGCCTTTAAACTTGCATTTTTCAGATTGGAAACCCGAGGTTCATTTAGGAAAAGAAACATACCCAGGGTCACGAGATGAGAAAGTTGAAGTCAGTCCTGGTGGCCTGGGTTCTTCTATGCTAACACACTTCTCTATCTGTTGCTTGCACTCCTCCTGTTCTGTCTTGCCAGGTGGAGTTCAGTCTCCGTGAGAGAAGGGACCGTGTCAGGGCTATATGACCACCAAAAAGCCATCAGGTCTCAACAGCCCCTTAGTGGTCTGCTCAGTGGCTTCCTACAATCTTCAAGAAGGAATTAACTTATCTGAAAGAGGCTTTTATTTGAGAAGAGCGAAAATGCCCCCAGAGAATGAGAACTGGAGTCTCTCTAATGAAATGGCTGAACAATTTGATTTAATCTGTGACAGTTTTATGTAGTGGCTGAAGGTGGGAGAGAGGGTACTGGAGACATAATTGCTTCTAAGAACAATAGAAAAGGGCAAAAGAGAAATGAGTTAATTAACACTGGCTTGGCACATCCTTGATTTCTTCCTCTCTTTCCTTGGTGTGTGTAAGTCTTAGGTTTCTGGGTCAAAGAATCATAACTGCTATTACCTTATTTTCCCTCCGGTCTTTGGGCCAATGCTATTTCCTCTGTGTGAATTTGGACCTTGGTTTCCTCTTCTGAAAAATGAGATGAGTAGAAAAGATGATCTCTAAAGAGCAAGCCTTATAACCTCATTTAATTTTAGCAATCACGACTCAATGGTTTTTGAAAATTATTAATAAAAGAACCATTGGCATTTTAAAAATGAAGTCCCATTGGACAGAATCCAACTCTTATCTTTTTGTGCTTCAGAATCAAGGGAAGACAGTTAATGTGTACAACCACCTTCTGGGAGGCAATTTGCAAATACTATTGTGTTTAATCTTACCAGCATTCCCGAGGGCAGATGCTCTTTTACTTTGTTAGTGTGAGATCAGGGTTCGTCACCTGCTCACTGTTCCAGAGCTGAAAACCCTGCATCTCCTAACTTCAGGACCTACACCTTTTGCTCAGGACCAGGCTGCTGTCTCTCCAGTGTAAGGAACTCTGGTCAGTGGTGGCTGGCTGCCATTTGAGCAGACATATGGCATGGAAAGGTCACATACTGGCAGGGCATTGGCATCGACAATGCGGGATGTGCCAGCCAGCAGCCCCTCTCTCAACAGGTTTCTGTTTCGCAGATCTGGGTCCTTTCACTGTGTGCTCTGCATTGTCTTATAAATCCAGGTGGGGAGGCTTCTCAGAACCTTCCATTCCTGGGCAGCATCCCAGGACAGCTCTGTGCACCTTGTCCATCTTGTGCTTCTGTTGCCTGGCCTTGCTGCTGGGAAGGAGGGTGGCCCAAACCCCTTTATCATGCATCAAAGGGGAGAGAAATTGAGGAAGTCTAACCAAGGGAAGGCAGGTCAGAAAGCCAGGAGCTGAACCTTTGGTGACAGTTAGAATTAAGTTGAAAACTTAGGGATGCTACCTTCCCTTTGGCCTTAGAAATTTCTGCTGCAAAGTGTGACAGCTATAAGCCCATTCATGCGATCTTCTTCTAAGGCATGGGAGCACGGTGGGTCAAGTGGAGAATCCTCAATGTCCACCATATATGTGAATGCCAAAGTGACAGTGGTGACCAGAACACCCCTATCCCACGATTGGTCAGCGAGCATCCTCTG